AAATATTTGTATAGTTATGTAAACAACAATCCTCCATTCCATGAAGAGACATGTAAAGCGTCCTCTTGTAGAGATAATGTGCAATATCTTCACATTTTATGATTCATTGACTCAATTGATGATGACGACTTCCTTCATGACTGGAGTCTGGCCATGCTTCCCTGCCAGTAGAATGCTACATCCCCTATTTATTGTGACAGTTAGCTATTACTGACTTATTTAATATAATTCTTAATTTAATTCTTTACATTACATATACGACAGACAGTGCCATCACCGGTTACGGTTAGGGTGCAAAAATCTGTCAGGGAGAATGTTAGGAATGTTGTAGACATGGGCAGAGCATTTTCTGAATGATCTATGCATCTTCCAGAGTACGAGGGATGCTGGGTGATTGAGTCCTGAAGGTTGCACGGTGCCCTCTGAGAAGTACAAGGACTTCAGCAAGGCCGGCACGGTGGTCTGGCTGTTGACTACCTGTTCTTCCTCCACATCTTCACATCGGTTGTGATCTACCATGAGAAGAAGGAGTGGCACTAGGAGGTCGGCACCATCACCGAGACCTGACAAAAGGATGACGACTCAGAACACGGAAGAACATCTCTCTCTCAGCTGTACTATTGATGCCCCTGCTGCAGCCATCTTTTCAGCTGTTATCAACATTTTGGCTACTACCGCTACGCCAGGATTGGGCCCACTGTCTCACGTCCTGCCGCACCACAACAGACATTCAGGCGCTTGTGATGAGGTCAGGCCAACAGAATTCATCAGGCAAGACAGTATGATTATCTGACGATTAACTGATGGCATGTTAAAAATGCGTTATGACAGCATACAGTTTCATACCTGGCAAGTCTGCCCAGGTATTGATGATACAAAAAAATGTCAACAGCTTACATATTTAAAGACGTAATTATTTATTCTTTCATTACATAATCTGTGATCCCTGAAGTTTGGTGCCACCTTGTGTGACTCAAGTGTGACAGACCATCTAACTATCTGATTATTTCATTACTCAAATCTGTCTTTTTCTACTCCAGGGAGAGTGGAGTCTGTATCCACCTTGTTGGTGTTAAATTGTATCTTGTGAATTCTTTCTTTCTTTCTTTCTTTCTTTCTTTCCTTATTTCATTCATTCTTTCTCACTTTCTTTAGTTAAATCAATGTTGATATCATTTTGTTATCTCTCTAGGGTTGAATTATGAGAAACTACCTCTTTATTCATTCATTTTTTTGTTCAAATCTATGTTTAAGAACTCAGTGTCTCTTCAGTATTGAGCAATCATTTAGGCTTCACGCATAAAACACCATCCACTTGTTTGATGTTTATTCATTTAATTATGAAAATCTGTCATTACGTATTCAGTGATCACTGGAGTTTTGAGCCTCCTTTGGGGAGACCGTTGTACCAGACCGTCACGTCATCTAATATTACACTTACTTCTTTAACTGTTAAACTAGGAAATTAAGTAATAATTCATCATTTAATTGATGTATTTAAAATACAGGTAATGTTATGAACCAGAAGGCCCGTTTGGAGTCAGATTTTGGGAGTTGATGATGTAATGTCATCTCATTACTTCATCATTTAGCTATGTAAATAGATCTTTACATCAGCGATAGGTATAGGACTTTGGTGCCATCTCATCAGTGTTAATATAAAAGGCCCACTAATTAATTTTCAATTTAATTTTTTAAAAACATCATTATTCCAGTAAGAGACCAATCTGACTACTCCATGTGGGATTTAAGTATGCACCACCATGACATTATTCAATCATTTTTTATTATATATATTCATTATTTAAATCAATGAAGATGTTGTTCTTCTTGACTGGAGTCGGGCCAAACCTCCATGGGAGTTATCACGTGGCATTATTTAATTATCTAAGTACTACTTCTTTGACAATCACTGGAGTTTGGTTCCATCTTTTGAAAGTTATATATGGAGGACTATCCAATTATTAACTTATTTGATTGCGTAAGTAATGATGAGTCATTCGTCATTTGGCTGCTGTGGCATTGACACAGCAGGAGATCGGTACCAGAAGCAGTGGCCAGAGAATGGGGGACACTGCCTTATACAGTGATTACTGATTACGCAATAGTAGATTCTCAACAATCGAATGATTACACGATTTTAAAAAAACAACTGTAATGTTTCACATCATCAGTTTCTGAGAGGTTGCAACAGAACTGACCCATGAACACACAGTGACCAATGATTTTGAAAATGGAATGACTGAATAATATCCTGATCAGGGAATCTCATCTAATGAACTCTTTCAGGCTGTTATCATGACACACCACCAACAATAAATAACTCTAAATAACCATATTAGAAAGCGGGGTACAGGACTTAATAGAGAACAGTCAATTGAGGAATCCAAAATGACTGAAAGAAACAGAAGACACTGCTCAAAATCCTTAATCATCAGCCTAATGCAAATCTAAACAACTCTGAGAAACCATGGGATCAAGCTCTTCTGAGGAAAGAGGATGCAGAGGAGTTAATTTTATTTTCAATGAAGGGAATGGGATTATGGTACAGGCGATTAATTGTATTGTTTCCGTTCTAGAAATTAGAAAACTGAAGCATAGAAAACAGGTTTAAAATACTCATCATTGTACTTGAATGGCACAATGATGCTTTCGTTTTCATGCTTATGTCACTATAGGCAAGTTGTAGCTTGAGAGACTGGTAAATATGTAGAACTCAAAAGAAAGAGCCCTGCTTTGTTTTTGTGAGAAACTCAGTGAGGCTGTAAGGTTAGTTCATCGGTGGGTATACTCCTTCAAGCATGTGGGAGGGGCACTAGAATGTGACAGAATGTTGGTTCATAAATGTTGCCTGGCAACCCTCTTGCATTCTGTATCCTGGTAACATGGGCCAAGGACCAGAGAGCATGTTCGAGAAAGTGTTATCATGGACATTACAGTCTCCCAAGATAACTATCTCTTAAAACTTTTAATGACAGCATTTGATTCGCCTAAACAAGTCATAGCCACACCTCTGGAAGTGTGCCTACAGCTTTTACTGGTTGCCAAATTCAAGATTACCTAATCATCAGAGAACATAGTCTGTGGAGAAACAGTTCAAATGCTTCCCTTTATGAATACTCTCTCTCCTAAGAAGTGAAAGTATGGAACGAAAGATAATAATACTCACAATTATTCATCAAAAGGTGAGTTTCCCATTGTTGACTTGCTTCAGGAAGGTGATAATCCATTTGTTAGAGTAGACTTTGTGATTATTGGATTTCAGTCCATCTCTTTTGAGGCAGCCGCCCAACATTAATTATGTGATATCTTCTAAAAACCCTGCATCCACAATAACAGTTCAGCATTTCAACATGTTACCACTCTGCTCTGCGATTAAATAACTGATGAACCTGGGCGTTTCCCACAATCATGTGGGAGGCAACAGAGAGTCAATTGTGTGGAGTATGGCAGACCATTTCATCCTCTTATTATGTTGTTATTTGATTATTAAAATAGGACATTAGATAATCCATGATCAGTGGATTGAGGTGATGCGATGTGGGAGGCAATTATTATAGACCATCTTAATGTCAGTTATGTAGTTAAAATATTTAAATTCATCACGACAGCATCGTTCATGAGCCTGGTTTGGAGCCACCTTAGGGAAGTGGATGATGTTACATGAACTCATTATTTGATTATTTAATTATATTAAACAATGATTATATCGTACATGATACCTGGAATCAGATCCACTGGTCATCTAATTACATAATTAATGTATTTAAATTGACAATCTGTGTTAATCCCCAAGATAATGTAAATATTTTTATAGTAATGTAAACAACAATCCACCATTCCATGAAGAGACGTGTAAAGCTCCCTCTTGTAGAGTTAATGTGCAATATCATCACATTTTAGGATTCATTTTTTCAATTGATGATGATGACATCCTTCATGCCTGGATTCTGACCAGGCTTCCCTGCCAGTAAAATGCTACATCACCTATTTATTGTGACAGTTAGGTGTTACTGACTTATTAAATTCTTTAAAATATGTAAACGACCGACAATGACATCACCGTTTACGGTTAGCGTACAAATATCTGTCAGGGACAAGGTTAGGAAAGATGTAGACATGGACAGAGCATTTTCTGTATGATCTATGCATCTTCCAGAGTACGAGGGATGCTGGATGATTGAGTCCAGAAGGTTGCACGGTGCCAACCGAGAAGTAAAGTACTTCACCAAGGCCGGCATGGTGGTCTGGGTGTTGACTACCTGCTCTTCCTCCACATCTTCACATTGGTTGTGATCTACCTTGATAAGAAGGAGTGGCACTAGCAGGTCGGCACCATCACCGAGACCTGGCAAAAGGATGACAACTCAGAACACGGAAGAACATCTCTCTCTCAGCTATGCTGGTGATGCCTCTGCTGCAGCCATCTTTTCAGCTGTTATCAACATTGTGGCTACTACTGCTACACCAGGATTGGGCCCATTATCTCACGTCCTGTTTGCAACCAAAAGACAGATTCAGGTGCCAGTGATGATGTCAGGCCAACAGAATTCATCAGGCAAGACAGTATGTTTATCTGATGATTAACTGATGGCATTTTAAAAATGCGTGATGACAGCATACATTTTCATACCTGGCAAGTCTCCCCAGGTATTGATGATACAAAAAAAGGTCTACTGCTTACATATTTAAAGATGTAATTATTAAAGTCTTTCATTATTTAATCTGTGATCCCTGAAGTTTAGCGCAACCTTGTGTGATTCAAGTGAAACGGACGATCTAACTATCTGATTATTTCATTATTCAAATCTGTCTTTTTCTACTCCAGGAAGAGTGGAGTCTGGAGCCCCCTTGTTGGTGTTAAAATGTCTCTTGTGATTTCAATATTTATTTATTTAAATCAATGTTGATATCATTTTGTTATCTCTCTAGGGATGAATTATGATAAATTATCTCTTTATTCATTCATTTTATTCCTCAAATCTGTGAGAAAGAATGCAATGACGCCATTGCTTCAGACTTGGAGGGAGAAGGCCCTGCCCTGTGCCATCACACACAGAGTGACCGCCTGGCCCAGCCCTGCAGTGCATGCAGGGAGTAATAGTCCCTGGCAGTGGTCTTGGGAACAGATGCTTCATACAGAGAAGCCGCCATCTAGGTAGGACACTGAAGGGCGCTGGCGCACCAGCGAGGACACAATCAGTGACCACTGTAGGCGTAGCAAAGGATGCTGGGAATCATAGTCCCCTTCCACCCTGAGATGGGCGGGGCTCCGAGACTGCAGGGAAAATTCCACAGTGTGGGAAGCTGAGGGGATATTGCCGGCCAGTGATGTCACAGGGAGCAAGGTCCAGCACGCAGCCTCCTAGGAAACATAGTCCTGGAGACCAGCAGTGAAGACAGAGGCAGCATTTCTTTCATTCTTTTTGTGAGGGGGCGTGGCTACCTTTCCTCACGTGACCCCATCCATCTCCCGGAAACTCCACCCACACGCCCAATAGGCTCCGCCCTGCCCCGGATTGCCCCGCCCTTGCACCTGTCTTTCAGGGCCTGTGGCTTCCTGGGCATTTACCACCTGGGTGTGGCTGCCGGGCTGTAGGCACATGGGGCGGGGCTGCTGGGTGATGTCAGGGGCTAGGCAGGGGCGTCGGGCAGGGCCCTGTTGGCAGCCGTGCTGCTGACTTCCCCTGAGCAGCTGGAGGTGAGTGTGGGCAGGGCACATGTGACATGTTACTTGTGACATGTTACATGTCAGGGGTCACGTGTGTGGTTCCCGACCTTCCCACAGGCCTGCACAAGCTTTTGCACACAGCCTGGCTGAGGATACCAGGCAGCAACCACTGGGCGTGGCCACACCCAGCTTCCACCTCATGGAGCAGCTGAGGTGCATGGGGGTGTAAGGGGGTGGGGTGGGGCACAGGTCACATGGTACGTGTTACATGTCATGGGTCACGCATGTGGATCCCATGTCAGGGGTCACAGGTCACATGTGTCCCCCCTCCCCCGTACCATCAGGGACGGCCTGGACCAGATCCTCCCAGCCCATGCTCACGTCCTGGTGCAGGGCCGACTCTATGTGTCCTTGACTGCAGTGAATACATTCCAGAACTGCCTGGTGTCCCAGTTCCTGACCCGTGAAGACCTCATACAAGTGAGGGGGCGGGGCCGCAAGTGTAAGAATGTGTCATGTTCCGGGTTTCCTACATGTATGTTTCATCTGTGTTTGCACATGCGAGTCGCATTTTTGCACATACGTGTATCGTTTTGCTCATGTGTGTCCTACGTTTCCCCTCATGCGTGTCCTATGTTTCCCCTCATGTGCAGGTCCTTCTCGCCAGCTGCTTCATCCCCATCTACTCAAGGCTGAAGCATGTGGAGTTCCAGGGTCAGATGGGCGGGGCAGTAAGGGGCGGGGTGGTTGGGTGTGGTCACACGTGTCTATGACAGGTGACCCCGAACACGCGTGTATATTGTCGCGATTCCTCACATGTCCCCCGGCCCCCCATCTCCCCAGGCCTGGGCAGATGGTGCCCTCTTGCACAGCCTCCCCCTGCCCCCTGGTGGTCGCACCCTCACCATATCCCCATTCTGTGGACGCCATGGCATCTCGCCCCGAGACCCTGGCCAAGGTCTTGGCTCTTGCGTACACGTGACTGGACAGGACGTGGAGGTGAGCCTTGTGGGGCTTCCGTGGCCACTCCTGTCACAGCATGCTCACACAAAACTCACTTCCAGCCCAGCCCACACACACTTCTGGCTCCACCCACACTCATTTGCGGCCCCGCCTAGATCTCCACGGCCAATGTTGCCCACCTGGCCCAAGCGCTCTTCCAGCTGGACAGTGGAAGCCTGGAGTCGCTGTACCATGATGGCTTCTGCGACGCCATGAGCTTCCTGCGCCATGAGGACCGCTTCTGGTGAACAGGCGTGTGTGCACACATGTATGTAGCTGAATAAATGAAGTCCCTGTGATTTACATGCTTGTCGTTTGTTTTACACGCATGTCGTGCCTGTGGCTTCTGTGATCTTAATGCGCCAGCTCCACAACACTAATGTATGTCGCGTGTACACATGACATCTTGGCTGGCGCCGCCTCCATTACATGCAGTTCACATATGGAGTCATGGTGTTTCCATGTGAGCCAGTGCAGTGTGCATTGGAACCTGTGTACATGGCATGTGATCCCGTGTAGTTAACATGTGAGCCTGTGTATTTGACATGTGATCCCTTGTAGTTAACATGTGAGCCCATGTGCACAACATGGTATTCATGTCTTTACCATACATGATCATGTACTTACATTATGGCTTCATGTACTTACTGTGAGACCCCATGTAGCTAGCATGTGTAAATGGGTAGTTTGCATTGGTGTCACATACTTAGCGTGTAAGTAACATGCGAAGTCATGTGGGCAACATCTGAGCTGCTGCAGCAAACATAGGAGCCCTCAGAGTTTACATATGGGTTCATGTAATTAACATGAGGACATGCAGTAAACACATGAATTCATATGGATAACATGTTTATATTTGCTTTACCAGGATGTGGTTGGGGTTGGAGGGGAAATAAATACGTGGTCGATACATTGGCGGTTGGGTTATATATGTGGGTTACATATTTGCACTTGCTCCACCTATGTTACATGTATGATATGCATGTTTCTTTTCAGTTGTTTCTTGTTATTTTCTGTTCCTTGACTTGGGCCAGTTTATGTGTGTGAGGGGGGACACAGGCGTTGGCAGGGCGTGCAGGGAGAAAACGTGAAGGAGGAAAAAATAAAACTAAAAAGAAGGGAAAGAACCCGTGAAACAATAACAGTGGAGACGAACAACAATGACAACAACAATAATAATAGTGGGGAAAGAATGGGCTTAAATACTAACTCACAGCACAATAGAAAAATTATAGGAAGGTTAGGCTTAGCTCCTACCTACCTGTTGTGTGTTGTCACCAGGTGTGTGTCATCAAAATGGGAAGACTACCAACAAAAGCCTTGGGGCAAGGAGTTCCCGCCAACAGCTTCAGGCTAGCTCAAGGAGCCTCAGGGGTGCATGCAGGGCCCTACAGGTCCCCCTTTCTTGTAATATAAACTAACACCTGCCTTAGGTGGCAGAAAACATCAGCATAATTCCTTACCCATCATTGGAGAAGTCACCCAGGCCCGTAACCTTCCTATCTTAGGTTACATATTTGCCCCCTCTGCCTTACCCTTCACTGGTGAATAGTTTGTTCAGCCACATGTGGGCAGAGGCATTTTCTCTTGAGTCAAAGACAGTATCTGTCTTGTTAGAAAGTTGGCCCGGGCCTCTTTAGTGCTATGGCAAAATAGCACCAAGTGCAAGGCCTACAAACCCAAATGATCTGCCCACAAGTTGAAGTCCTTGTAAAAAGCTTTCTGCATTGGCAAGTGGCACTCAGGTTTCATAGATGTTAATGACCTGCATGGCTAAAGCATGTGTATAACATAAAAACTGATCACTCCAGGATTTCTGGAGAAAAATGATGAATTAACACAGATATGTGTGAAAGACAGAACAAGAAGCCATATGAGTTTGTAAATTTAGTTTAAAAATGCCAGTTTGTACTAGATAATAAAGTGTGATTTGGGTGGCTAAGACTTAAGCCAAATCACCTGATAGTTGATCTACTGTGCTTGCAGGATTTACAGATTGGGAGAGGGCTATGGTAGAATCTGTTGCCTCAGTGGTAAAGGCAGCATTGGCAGCCATGATCCCGGAATCTCTTATCCTCTGTGCTGCACACCTGGGTACGTCCCCGCAACAGCTGTTACATTTGGCAGACCTGCTGAGAACAATTGAAACTTCCTCCAAAATTATTAGCATTGTTTACAATAATAAGAATGGAACCAGAATACAGTACCTGAGATGAAATTGAAATTCTTGTCCTTTGTATAAAAGTATAAATTTATAGCCACTTGATCCAAACTATAATTAATGGTCTGGAAAAAAAGGCCACATATGGCTATTCAGACCCATGGCTACTCAGACCCACTGGCATCAGGATAGGTAGATTCTTGAAGACCCATCAGACCTTCTTTCTGGCTGTTAAATCACCATCCCTCTGCACATGTTGAATCAGCCACTCAGGCACCCAAACAGGGTTATCTGCATCTTGTGGAAACACACAAACTGACCTTTGAGACCATACTAGAACTGGGTCAGGGCCTCCCCATTTTGCAGTAGTGACACTCTTCCACATAAGTGAGCCATAGTCAGATGACCCAGGGCCCCAATGCCTGTTGGCCACAGATCGAGCAGCACCATCAATAGTTAAAAAATTTAAAATATAAAGGACAAGAGAAAGGTGATTATGAGGAGATCCTGTAAACTCCCCCTGTTTTGTTTTATGAAGATAGGCTTTAATTGTGAGATGTGCATGTTCCACCATGGCCTGACCCTGAGGATTATAAGGGATATCCATTTTACGTGAGATAATTTTTTTTTTATTTTTGCAAAAAGCGTTAAAACCTTGACTAGTATATGCAGGGCCATAATCAGGTTTTAATTGTCTGGGCATTCCCATATAAGCATAGGCTTGTAAACAATGGCTCTTAAAATCCTTAAGCCTTTCTCCAGTATGAATACAGGCAAATATGAAATGAGAATGGGTATCCACAGATACATGAACAAATTGTAGTCGACCAAAGGAAGGAACATGAGTTACATCCATCTGATAGATATCATTAGGAGTGACACCACAGGGGTTAACTCCAAGGTGTGGAACAGGTAAGAACTCTGCACATAGGGGCCAATTCTTAACTATATCAATAGCTTGGTCTCTAGTAATTTTAAAATGGAATTTAAGTGACCCTGTATTAAGGTGGAAGGTTGTATGAGCTTTGCAGGCTGCTTCATAACCAGATTCTCTGATCATTATGATTTTACTACCTCTTTTAGTTTTAAAATCAACAATGGCATTTTCTTCACTTAAAGGGCTAGGCAAATCAGAATGCGCTCGGAGATATCCTACAAAAATTGGATGAGAGAGCCTCCATAGTAGGCTTTGTATGGCTAGTAAATGTTCTTGTACATGAGACACTGGAGCTATATAAGCAGCAGTTTCTAAGGGAGCCAATATATGATAGACATATTTACTATCCGTGTACAAGTTAAATGGCTCATCAGAAAAATCTTGAAGGGCTAATTGTACTGCAGCTAGTTCCTCGAATTGTGCAGACTTCACTTTAAGTATAGAGCGTTTGATAATGGGAAAAGAAACAACTACTGCACAACCATTTGAAGAGCCATCTGTAAATACATTACAGACCCCCTTCAGAGGATTTTGGGAAATAACCTTGGGGAAACACACAGGGTGATTTTTAAAACAATGAGCTAACTTACTGGAAGGAAAATGACTATCAAAGCAGCAGGGTGTAGAAAACAAGTAATGTGCCCACTCTTCATTAAACTGTTGAAACTATTGTATCTGTTGTTGAGTATAGGGAGTAACAATTACATCTGGCATTTTGCCAAAAACTTGAATACTCATTTTGTATGCCTTTTGAATAATAGAAAGCATTGCCTGAGGATAAGATCTAACTGTCTTTCTTGGGGATGCATGTTCATGCACCCATAATATAGGACCAGTTTGCCAAAATACCGCAATAGGGGAATACCTGAAACAAAGACTAATAACATCAAGTTCTGAGAATAGTCAATATAATTTAAATGTGCAGGTTGGAGACATTTTTGCATAAGCTGTATACATTCTCCCACATCAGGCGTTAAGGTGCGCGAAGAAGTGGGATCAGAATCTCCTTGTAAAATATCAAATAATTGTCTAAGCTGCCCAGTGGGTAGGGCCAAACTAGATCGAACCCAATTTATGTCTCCCAATAATTTTTGAAAATCATTAAGGGTGGTCAGATTATCCAGCCTTAAAGTAATCTTTTGAGGACGGATACCAGAAAATAACAAATGATGACCCAGGTATTGATAGGGAAATTCTTGTTGCCCCTTTTCTGGGTTTAATCTTAAACCCGCTAATTGAAGATTATGTTGCAATTCTCCAAAAGCCTCATTCATTTCCTTAGAATCCAGGCCGGCTAAAAGAATATCATATGTATAATATATAGGGATTGAAATTTCTCTCTAATGGGAGCAATGGCCAATGATACATAAATTTGCCAAGTAGTGGGACTATTGGCCATTCCTTGAGGCAAGACCACCCATTGATATCTTTTATAGGGCTCTTTAAAGTTAATAGAAGGAATGCTAAATGCAAATCGCTCACTATCCTGAGGTTGCAAAGGAATGCTAAAAAAAGCAATATTTTAGGTGGATAACTAATAAATGATAGCCTTGAGGAATACCCACAGGGGAAGGAAAGCCAGGTTGTGTTGCTCCCATAATTTACATGCAATCATTAACAGCTCGGATATCTTGTAGGAGTCTCCATTTTCCAGACTTTTTCTTTATAACAAAGATTGGGGTATTCCATGGGGAAGTGGAAGTAACAATATGTCCTGCCTCTACTTGTTCCTTTGCAAGTTGATGTGCAGCCTGTAAGTTCTCAATAGATAAGGGCCATTGCTCCACCCACAGTGGGTTATCAGTTTTGCAGATAATAGAAACAGGACCAGGCTGCATAGCAATAGACCCTAGGGAAAATTTCCCAGCCCAGAGCGATCTCCAGCTCTTTTGATAATTAAATTTTTGGATGCAACAGACTGAGGGTCACCGTGTAGGAATTTACCCAGTCTTTTTTCCTTGTACATAACCTTGGTCAGCCAGCATATTTTTAACAGGCTCAGTAGTAAGGACTGCTCCTTTGGCCTGAAGCACATCTCTCCCCCAAAGATTAACAGGTATATGACATAACACAAAAGGCTGAAAAATTCCAGTATGTCCTTCATCATCTGACCATTTAAGAACCTGAGTACTACATTTTGGAGTACAGCA